CCCCCCCCCCCCCCCCCCTCCTCCTCCTTCCCCCACCTCGTACACTGCAGGGGCTTAAAAGCCTTAGAACTATACTCCAGGTGAACTTTAAAATTGTATTATTGCGCGTCGGAGTTTTCGGCAATAAATTCACATGGAGAAAAAACTGTATGAAACACAGGAAACAAGTCGAATTACTTTACGTGGTTCTATTATAAAAGTTAGAAGAGTGAAACCCTTAAAAATCTGAAAATTACTATTTCCCCTTATTAAAGTCTCATTTAACAATAAATAATTACTCCAAATGCTTCAAGGTTGTACCAAAGTGGTGTTAGAGAATGTTGTTATAATGGGATGCTGCAATGAAAACCTGTGCAGCCGATCTGAGTATTTGGAGGGGGGGGGGCGGGGGGGGGCGGAGAGGCGCAAAAAAGGGGAACAGCAAAGGGAGAGACCACGAGGGTCTGGGCAGGGTCTGTTTAAACCACGCTATTCGCTATCTCAGTTTTTAAGAGTTGAATGTGTTGGGAATTGGTCCAGTTCTTTTTTTTTTCCCACTATATTAAGCCAACGAAACGGTTTCCCGTTGTCTCTTGTTACTGACGGAAGAGATAGACATGGATTGAAACTTTTTTTTTTCAAGTTATTACTACTAGCTACCAACAAAAATCAATAAAAAATAAAATGGTTATTGCTCCCTGATGAAATGTTTTTGATATCCTTTATAATTTTCAAAGCAGCAATTTGTGTATGGGCAAGAGCCATTATGGCTCTTGATATGGGTAAAGGTATGTAATGACTTGTAACATCAAACTAATTGCAACAGAATTGTTTTCAACGCCATTTAAGTAAGAGAGGCCTATCTAGCAACATACTAAAAATCCGCCAAAATCCGTTCGGTGGAACATGTCAAAATTAAGGGTGAAACATTTTGAGCTTTTAACACAGGACACCCACGTTCAAACAAAAAATGCACAAAATGTGTTTGTTACTTTTATGGGAAAGTGAAAGAAGAAAGAATAACTGCTACCTAGGTTTCGGTGATAAAAACCACTTTGTTTCTTTTTCTCAAAAAGGATAAATATTTAATACGGTTGGCTTTTGCACAGGACGCCCATGCTTCGCTCAAGGAACCCCAAAATAACAGGAAGCATCTAGAGTAATATAGAGGGAACTGTTGGCTGTAAAACTACAACAAATTTAGTCGTAAGGCTTTAAATCTGAAAATGAAAGCCGTTACTTAATCATTAGATTTTAAAATATATCCTTTTTAAATCAGAATTCTGAATTCATTTTGCCTTCGGCTTTTGGTCTTTTTCTCAGTCAAAAGACTGCAATTTCCGTTCTGTAGGTTCTCAAAAATCCAGCAAGATAATGCTTTGGCTTTTACCATTACCAATTTCGTTAACGTACCGTCATCCTCAAATATGCAAGTTTTACTTTTTTGAAGCTTTTCGTTTTCTTCTTGTTAAAAGTGAATGGAGAGGAGGGGAGGCTAGTTTTACTAATTCTTTACGATACACAACAATGCAGAGTTTTTGAGCAGGTTAAGCTCCAATGCCTATGAATTTAACAAGAGGGAAATGCGTTTTCATTTAAGGAAAAGTCACCTTCGCAAAAAAAATTATAAAGGTTAACGGAACAGTCATCGCATAAGAACTTTGGTTCCAGCAAACGTTTGTTTCAAGAAAGCGAAATAGTATAATAGGGAAGCTGCTTTTTAAGGGAAAGACAAACTCTGGGTAGCCAAAACAATGCGCATGTAAAAATATCTTGTTAGAGTCTATGGAGTAATGGAAATTCCCCACGCAGAGCATAATTCACGCAACTCAGTCAGAAGGTAACATGCAGTAAGTTGAAGTGTTACACAACGCTCATCCGAAAGGAAACATAGGTTCCGCAAAAAGAGGTGAGCCATCAGAAGCTATGTCAGGCAAGCCCATTAATGTTGTACATATGTCCACTACTTTCGCGCCTTCATTGACCACTGCAATTATTTTCAGACGTATAGGATCCCATGATCGTTTAGAAAAAGAGGTCCTCATTTGCCAATGGACGAGAACAAACTGGTCAAGGTTCAGGGTTGTTCTAACAAAAAAAATGCAAGGAGGGAATATAAAAGCCTTTAAACCACATAGCGATTAAACTACTTATTCATCTCACCAAGAAATTAACGGCTGCCGCAAACTGAACACTCAGATACACTAAACTAAATCTGAGACTCGTTACAAGAAGAAGATTAAAAAAAAACTATAATGATAATAACACTTCGCTTGGTTTTCTGGATTTCCCTTACTACAGATTCGGCCAGGTGTAATGAAAAGCGCAGAGCGTTACGATCTGTGAAAAAAACAAATAGACGGAATCCGAAGCAGAATATTTATTAACTCACTTTGTAAAGTACAGAGTCGTAATCCTAAAAGACGTTGCGCATGTCGCGAGAAAAAAAAAGAATCCCTGATTTCGGTCACACATATTGTCTAAGGTTTGAACATA